TTACTGAACCTTCCCAACAGAAGAATACAGATCACACAATATTTGCATACAATGTTCACTGTGATCTGAGGAGGCATACAGAGGACGAGTGATTCCCATTTGCAGACAACTGGCAGTGCACTTCATTTTACAAACCCCTCCTCGTCTTCTCTACAGATACAAATGAAGCTCAGCAATAAATACTTACACAGGGGCTAAAGACGCTCTTAACATTGTGGAAGCCTAGATCAGAAAAACAAAGAAAAAAAGAAATCACAACAGATTAGTCCAAATTTCACACCAACAGTGTTACTAATGAGGTCCACAGTGAATTCTTCCACTGATGTTGTGGAATTCTTTTCCTATAAAACCTACGCTGCAAAATAGAAACACAGCTAAAGAGAGGACTTCAGTGTTTATCTTTCTTTTCCCTGAAAGTGTTTCACAGGTAAAAACCTCTTCTGTTATGATCTGGCTATGTTATCTTCACTGTTATACTCCAAAAATTACCTACACTTGAAGCATTTAAAGAAAAATAAATAAAAGGAAAAAAAGTGAGTAGAAACTACCATCCAAAGCCCACTGAGGAAGATTAAGAACTTACTAAACACATTTATTAACTTCAAAAATTTTCATACCTTAAAGTTGCAATAATATTTCACTGGAGACCTAGCACGTATTACTGTACCCAAATTTGCTATAATTCTTTCTTTCAACACTAATGTTATCAGAGTGCCTGTTGCTACTAATATATTCGCCTATATATAACTATTAATATGGAAAGAAAAGACTATGTATTCTAGTATGGATAAACCCGATACGGAACAGCGTGCCATTTCTCAGTGGTTCTGCCTAGGATAAGTTCAGTTTAAGCCTGGATGGTTCCCCTCTGATGCAGTGTGACACAGCATATGCAGGCACCACTGCTGAACAAGTCAAGAATATCAACACCATATAAAAATTGTCTGCTTCAGTAAATATTTTTTGCTAGAGCTAATTGTAGGTGAGCCAAGAAGCAGCAATTCTGGCATAAGAGTGCTTCACATCATGCATTCTGATGTCAACTACATGCCATATTCACAGAATATTCAGTGTCATCTCTTTGTGTTGATTTCCCTACTCGCTTTCTAAAAAAACCTCTCCTTACCACTTATGCCTTTAAAACCAGTCTTCTCTTCTAACCTAGCCTCTTTCAATGGGAGCTATATAATCAATGTCTATTGTCAGATTTAAACCCGAGGTATTTAGGAGACAAAAAGCGTGAAATACCATAGAGAATACTGAATTACACCAGCTGAGATATTCTTGAACACACTACCTCATGGGTATCTTTTGTAATACAAGGAACTGCTCTCTTAGATGCGAAATAAGCTTATACGCACACTGGAAAGCATTTTATATTACATTTAAGTCAATGAATGACTTGTACACAATAGACAATTAACAGGTCATACACTTCAAAACGAACCTGTCTTGAGAGCAGTTCTCAAATCATAGTTTATTTTATGCAATACAAAAATCTTTCAAAGCATCATATCTACCTAAAGTGTTTTCCCCTCATTTATTTGTATTCCTTTTCCTTAGCATTTTTTATAAATATCAAAAGTTAACTTTTGTTTAAACAAAACTGTTTTCCCAGTCAAAACATATCATCTTGTACCTGAGGGCGCAATGAAATCACAAATCATTTTTGTTGCCTTCCTCAGCACCCTTCTTCATTAAAAGAAATGGGGAAGAAAGTGACTATAGTACTTTAAAGCAAAAGAAATGACAGAGCCCTTGAAGTTGAGAAGGTGAGACAAAGAACTTTAGTGAGAAAAGAAATAGAGCAGGTCACTAAGAGTAAATAGATGTATATAAAAGCTCTCTGCTTCTCAGCAAAACCCTCTTTTACCTACCACTTCTTTGCTGCCTTAGAAAGAAAAGCATGTGGTCCAACCAAAATCTAACTAAAGGATATATAATTGGTAAAGATACATGCATCACCCTTCCACACAAATAAAACTTTTTGGCAAGTGTGAGATTTTGCAAGCTTTTATGAATTTCAAACTACAGAAACTTCAGTTGGGAAAACATTCAGATTTTTAAAAAAATCAATCAGATCAAGCAGGACAAAGTCCTATTAATTCCAAATTACTTTTTAAGCCAGCAGATGGAGCACAGCAAAGCATTTAGTATGGTTTGGCTCTGTACTCTACTTACACCAAAAAGGCACCACACAGTGAGGCAGACCCTATACTGGACCTCTGAAGGACAGACCACCGAGACAGAAAGCCTTCTTGTCCAGCACTCACTTTTCTGATCAGACCCAAGTTTATCAGTCTAGAACCCGCACAGGAGGAAGGAAGCACTCTCAGGCTTTTGGTGGTTTTGGGAAAGCAATAAGGATACAGTTCATACTACATCAGGTTCAGCAAGGCAAAACAGAAATGGGGAAAAGTTTTTCAGGGGTAGTTTGTCCTTCACTGCACCTTCATTTCTGAATCTGACTGACTATGGTCAGCACCACTGATAAGCAGAAAGAATGCAACCATGTTACAGGCAGAGATTTCCTCTCTTCGTCTTCATCTACATGATTGTGATTAGCCTTAGGTAAGCTAATCTGTATCCATCCAGTATGGCATACTGAGTAAGACATTGGCTTCGGTCTCAGGAGATACACTTTTAGTCCTGATTCAGCTACCGACTGCAGACAGAATTTAAACATGTCATTTCACATCTCTGGGCCTCTATTTTTCTCATCTGGAAAGCAGACACAGGCATCAATCTCTTGAATAAGCTGGTGTTTGAGATCTACCAATGAATGGCAGGGTGCAAGAACTAAAAATTGTTATTTTGCAATTAAACAATTGAATGCTAATGGCACAACAACCACAAACAGAAAACCAACAGATTTAGTGTTTGATTATGACATAATAATTCCGCAAAGTAAGTTAACAGCTGATACAGTATAGTAACAACTCTGGTACAAGTATTTTCCTGTTCTGGAATTTATTTAAGCCTCTATTTTAAGTAATTTCATGGGAACAAGAATTGCAGTAAAATATCGCTAGAGAATTCTTTCTTCACTGGGCATTTTTTGGCAGTTACGCAATCCAGCAGCTCTCCTGTGGCTCACAGGGCTATGATTTCAGAGTCCACGCTACTTTGGGTCAGACAGCTGAGGCACCCTGCGAAGCACACAGCCACGCAGCATGCCGAGGGACAGCATCACGCGCTCTCCATCTAAATGTGTCTGAAGAGATTTTCAATCGGTTTAATTTCCAGACAAGTGATCCAAATACAGTACCACTGAGTGCTGATCATTCAGTTTAACATCCAGGCTACCTCTTGCCATAGGGTCTCAACTTTTCATCTTTTTATCTTCGTTTTTAAAGAGGAAAGACATGCGGCTCCTTGGACCCTTGGAGCCCTGCTACCCTGCCAGCCTTTCCCTTCCTCATACCATGGCCTCCTCAGCTCTCGCTCCCAGACCGCTGTCAGTCTGGCCGGCACCACCTCTGCACCCTTTCCTTGGCTGCTTTCACCGCCTCCTGCAGCAGCAGCAGCATCAAGGGGTGCCTGTCCCAGCACAGAGCACAAGCTGATAGCCCTGCTGGGCCACAGTGGTTTGTACCAAGCCCCACGCCTCATTAGTTACGCTGGCAGATTTGACCAGTTGGAAGCAGAAGTCTTGGCAATAGGAAGCACTGGGTTATGGACTCAGGTGGAAATTAAGCCTGGGGAATACGACCCATACTCTGCTGAAAATTTCATGTCTTCTTTAACAGTAACATTTCTAATTAAAAGAGTGAAATACAGACCCATCCTAACATTTAATTTTAACTTGGTTTAATTCCTTAAGCAGAGTGCTCTTTGCCTCACAAACTGCCTTGCCCCACACAAGCAGGGAAGGGTAAATGCGCATTACAAATTCCCTAGCAGGCAGCCCACCAAAGCAAATACACTTCCACCTCAGCACCTCCTTTTCCACTCCACTGGGTAGTATTTGTTTGTTTGCTTCCATTTCTCCTGTTTAGTATGGATCTGAGATGTCCCAGTCTCAGGATATTTACCCAGTTAAATATCTTTACATAACCTAACCCCAAAAAGCTGTGTTACGCTCTAGTTCCTGGCTTGTGCATTAACTTTAACAAAAGGAAAACCGCACCTCAAATACAGCTGGGTCCCACAAATCAGCTCTTGGGCTTACTTACATCAGCACACTTACTTCATTTAAGATGTATAATCTAGCCAGTGGAAAAAGGTCACGGTCTTCACCATTATCTCTGTACACAGTAGATCCAAAGCCAAGCTTCCACCTGCATTACTTCTGGTGGCAGTGCCAGATGAACCAGCCTTCACCCCCCTCAACGCATTGCTACCACAGAAAGCAAAAGCAAGAGATTCTTGGGAACAAAAACCTGCCCTACCACCAAATAAATAACAAAATTCATTTTTAAATTCTTTGCGAAACCTTAGCCATATGCTTTTAAAAATTCTACGTTGCAGATACATGTAAAAACATGAAGCTTTTAAAAATTATTTTTAGGAACAAAGGGATACATGTAACTGAGGAAAAGGTTAATATTGAAGTCTGGAGGTAGGCAGAACAGAGCCCACTTTGGCCTTTTGGTTTTTTGATCCTCACAGATCCTTTCTTCCCTTTCCTGGTGTTCATTCTCAAAGCTAAATGCTGAACTCTGATATCTTGTCGTTTCTGTGGCAATAGGGCAAAAACTCCAACTGTACTGTGTTTTTCAGAGAGAGTATTTAGATGCTGGAAGGTTGAGTCTTAGTTACAATAGCTGCTTTTAAATAATTGGACAAGAGAAAATAAAACCATCAGCACTGTGCATTCACAGCCCTCAAAGCACTCTATAGAAAGTAAATTCTTAACATTCTTATAAGGTTAGTAGAAACACAATGATCTTCACTTCCAGGTGATGAATCCAAGGCCACAGACTGAAAGGCAGAGTCAAAGGCACTGCTAATAGGTAACTTCCTCATTATACATCCATCATGTCAACCACCAGACAATGCCTCAGTCTGCTGAGTTTACATATGCCTCTTTACTACCAGTTTTCTTAGATTAAAAAGCATTTATTTCCTCAGCATTTCCTCCTTTCCCCAATCTTACCTTTCCTGGAAGAGGTTAAATATTAATTCAAGCTTTTGAGTAATAGTATTCCTTAAATTGCCCATCAATAAAAAGAGCGTGAGGAACACTGGGCATACATGACTCATCTGCAATACACGACTCCCAACATTCATGGATTTAATCTTGAACAAATACTTTTCATGCAAAACCTGTCTTGAGACAGAACCACTTGTCATAATTGAAATACATGCAGAAACTAGGTGTCTTAAGGAAAGGAAAAGAAACAAGCACAAGAAAACAACAGCCCAAGCATAGCTCATTCTGGTAGGATCATGGGGTATGACTTGTTTGTGTTGGTTCTTGCCAAAGCCAAACCAGGTACCATATTAAGTCAAGTAATTCTGTCATGATGCAGATTAGCCACAGATGGCAGCCCTTAATTTTTGAATGAAGCAAGGCATGAATATGAACAGCATGGAATAAAACAAAGTTCAAAGCAGGGGGGCGGGAATCAATATTTATAAAAGAAAACAGATGCATTTCATGTGTGCAAGCCAAAACCACAATTGATTTTATCAAATACTGTAGCCCTGTATTCAAACCAATTCCACTACTTGATGTATATATTCATAATATGCTGAAGGCTAAAGCTGAAAGCCAGATTCTGTCCTAGTTACCACTCTGAAAATGTGCTATAAGAATTCAGTGTAAGTTCAATGCAGATTCAGAATTAATACAGATACGTGATGAATACATGAAGAGTAAAACCAAAGTTTGAGCAAATTTGTACATATTATTAGAACTCACAAGTTTATGTTGAGCTCATTGTCATTAGCACATAACAAATAAGACTGCTACAAGCAGCCTTTGATGGGTTAGACTCTGAGCTTGTGTAACCTGGCAGGTCTACTGGGGCTATGCAAATTTATTTCATAAGAAGATCTCCAAATGTTTTTAATTAATTTTTTTTTTACTTATACTAGAGATATACTGTTATGAAAACTTCCCACTTGGCATATAAAACAGGTTCTCTAAGACATCTGAAGTGTACATAAAAAAGTCACACTGTAATACTATGTGATAATGTAATGACAAGACAAAATGCCAGAAAAAGTATAAAAGACTATATATGAACAGTGAGGGGAGGCTGAAAGCTATCTATGTATTCAAGAAATACCTCAGAATTAGAGTCAGGTGGCTTTACAAAAATTTTATAAACAGCTTTGTGTTGTAAGTTATTACATTCTACATTGTATAAAGTTACATTTAACTAACGCTACATGTATAAGGGCAAAACTTTTCTTTAGCAAAGATAATTTAATTCATAATTTCTCATCTGTAATTAACTTTTCTCAATCTCAAAACAGACCATTATGAGAGGGAACAAAATGTTAAATGTCAAGCAGATGGTGTCCGTTATGACCATTCACATCATCAACAGGAACAGGTTGATGGATACAGGTGGTCTTTTAACACAGGTGAATGTGGATAGTATTCTCTACATCAAGATAAAAAGAAGCACGTAAGGAAAAGTCCATTGCATTCAATAATTATGTGACTGTTTCTCAAAACAAAATGTTTTTAAGCAGGAAGTTGCGTGCCCACAGGGGTTACTGTAACTCCAGGTGACGAATATGTTTGAAAAAAAGTAGTTTTTCTTGAAAGGTGAAATCTTGTTTTACCCAAAGTGATAAAAATACAAATATGGATTATTTTAAAGTAGAATACTGACTGACATTTTTCAAAATTGGTGTCAATCACTTCTATGATTTGATTACAGACCAAGTTACTTAGAAGTAGACTCATTTCCTCTCTTTGCAAAGAATGCATTGACTATGGGCAAAATTAGATACTTATGGTGTACTTGTAATATTGCCAGAATACTAACTTCCATGTGCGTTACAGAAGTCACAGGCAGTACACAGAATACCGTTTTGCTTTTTCAGTTTTCAATGAAAGAGGATCCACTTTAATTGTATGAAACAGTTTGATAATTTTTACTACAGAAAGAAAGTTTCACTTTAAAAATACAAATACTTAAAATACGATGCACCTCTGAATAGCACAACTTAATTTGCTGTATTATCTTAAGCAATAATATTCATCTGCTTACTCAAAGGTGTTGTGGCATCAGCTGGTATTGGCACACTTCAGAGACATCATATGCTATATACACTGACGTTCATGTGGAAGAAACAATTGCTTTCTGCAAGTTATAAAGAAGCTGTGTTGCATGTAAAAGTTGTGGACAAAGCTGCTCTTTTGTTGACATGTCACATGTATTATGAAGCCATAAGGTTACTCAGAACTTCTGTTCTGTTCTCCATGCAGAAATCCCAAGCCTTGAACATTTTTTGGCTCTTTATAAACCATACAGTTAAAGTAATGACAGGTTAAAATGCATGGAAAATTGTTACACATTGTGAAATGAAGAGAAATACAGACTGTGACAGGCTGCAGCAGGCAATGTGAAAGGATATAAAGATATAGACACTTACATATCCGTCATCACAAGGGCTCATAGAGTAATATCCCTTTACGGGCAAACAGGCACACATTAAAATAAAAAAGATTAAAAAAAACAAGTTAACAGAAATAAATCACAGAGAAATGCACAGTTCTAAAAACCCAACAAATCAAAATTAGCCAAAAATTAACAGACTATTAGCTTTGAAAAGAAAAGTATAAGCACTTTCTCCCAATCCACATACTTGTATGTTTTAGGATTGCAATCAGTCTGTCTCTCCTGTGATATATTTACATTACAAGTTCTCCTTTCAACAGCTGGCAAACATACCTAGTCTGCACATTATTCCATTATAACTGTCAGTTAGAATAGCTACGTACCAAGCACTGACACATTTATGTGAACATATGACTTCTATTGTTCACTACACTGGAGCAGCTAAGAGCGAGATACCAATGAACATGATATAGATCAGAAGACCTCAGCTTCTGAGAAAGCAGCTGCAAGTATTCTCCATACTTGCTTTGGTTGGAGTTTCTCACCAGCACATAATGAAAGCTGAGAGAGACAATTTAAGGTGTTTCAGCACTGTTATCAATTCCTCATTCCAAAAGGCTCCAAGGATAAATTAAGAAAAAGTCTCTAGAAGGAAACCTAAGATTTAGTTACTAAAATAAAAAACTGTGATAACTTGTGGTTTGAGTAGTTTAGTTCAAAATATGCCATGTTCTCTTTAATTAGACTAAAATATTTAACTTAGAACAGCTTTGTATCTAAAAAGAAGTCTTAATTCAAAATAAAAGTACACAGTTCAACACAATGAAATAAGACCAAGATTAATTATTCTGCTTCTAGTCTTTTTGTGCAAACTTGCCAATACTTACTCTAGAGGATATGTTTGTGCAGATGAATAAGCACATAAACACTGTATTTAGCAGGTTCCTCTTTAACAGACATACACAGCCTTACACAGAAGGTATAAGAAACTTGCCACTCTTCACTATGAGTAGAAAATAAAGTTCTTTGTATTCTTTAACAAAGTTTTAAAATGTGACATTATTCTTTTTATTACTAACACACTCAGAACTCCCTGATGTGAATGAGTATTTTAACTGTCACGGTGCTATACACACACACAGACTTCTGGCAAAGACATTTTAAAATTTAAGACGAATGACAACATCGATAGAAACCAGTAAGTGAGCAAAAGAAACCAGAAGGTAACCTGTACCGTGATGAGAGGACATTTCAACACACGCATGACCTGAGCCAGTAAAAATGTATGTAGGCATCAAGACAAAGATGACGTTAAAGGAAAGTTTTAACATTAAAGGAAACCACAAAAGGTTGCACCAGACGACCTTTCAAGGTCTCTTCCAACCTATGCTATTCTATGATTTGAGGACAATAACAGCAAAAGTTTGTGGAAACCCCTACTGATGCCACCACCTTAGCTTTAGAGATGAGGAATTTATGCAAACAAAAAACCCCACCCAAGTTGCTGCAGGTAGTTGTATCACCTGCAGCAACTTGTGAAAAAGACATCATATACCATATCAGCAGAAAAAAAGAACTTCTCTTTGCCTGAAGAGGTAGGTTTGTTTCTTCTTTACCATATATAAGTGGTAACATATAAGAATCATCCCATGGACAGGGATGGAGAAGACTGATACATATCATCCTAAGAAAAGCTTACTTGGGGTAGATGATGTTTGCTGTAATGTGCATATTTTTAAATGAAAGAGCATATATCCACATAATGCTTGGTCAATCCACTCTGAATGGTTCAGAGTAATAAAAAAAAAAAAAAAAACAAACCCAACCTCTGTTACCCTGTCTCCTAGGTTTCACGTGGTCTCCTGGTGCAGAAAACTCTTTCACAAGCAAGAAACAGAATATCTGCCACCAACTACTACAGGCTAATGGCATGTTCATATTTGCAGTAAAAAGCATGTTTGAAGAAAAAAGCACAGACCAGCAAATTAAAAAAAATCCTCCTTGCTTACAGTTTGTAAATGACAGCTTAACTTTACAGAACAGCTGGTGTTTTTGTCCAGTGACAGAACTAAAAAAATAATTTTTCCACAGCTTCAAGAGTTGTGCCAAAAGAGACCTAAAACTTGCAAGGGACATTAATTCAACTAATTGTAGCTACAGGTAAATATAATCAGATTGAACAGCAGTAAAAACATAATGGGCATTTATTCTATTCCATGACACAGGAGCAATATATGCAAACAACTGTACAGCTTTCTACTCACAGAAAGATTCTCCAGTGGTTAACACACATCTTGACTATTGACAGAGACCGTGCATCTGAAGAAACAGTTCCCGTTTTCCCTTTAATCCAAAGTTTAGAGAATCTTATTACATTATCCCTAATCCAAGAAATTCCAGGAAGGTGTACATCTTGAATCAGAAAATCTGTTCATGGGTTTCAGACTTGAGCCTATGCTTAAGAGCTACTTTTGATGGAGAATGAATGTACAACGCTTCAGTGTTAAAGAGCTAGAATCCTCTCAGCTTCATGATGTGTATTAAACAGAAAATTGCAGGCATCAAAAAACTACAACTCATACTTCCTACCCACCAGACAAATCACTATTAGAAAGAAGAAAAAAAAAAAGAACAAAAAAAAGGTAAGACTCAAGTTATCTCAAGAGTATTAAAGATATAAGGGACTATGACAGATCACTGTATTTAAAACTGTTCTTCTCAAACTTACCATTACTGACCTGAGTTCCCTGTCCAAATGAACATTAGAAAGTCGGGAATCTGATTAAATCTTCAAATGTATGTTTCCTGGGAATCTGATTAAATCTTCAAATGTATGTTTCCTCAACTTGTCAGACCTGGTGCTCTGACCTCCTATTCTTAGATACAGACCTTTTGCTTTGTCAATTCTCTCAGGTTTCTTATCTCTCAATTCAGGACCATACATGTCAAATATCATGATGGAAGATGGTGACAACATTCAACTGCAGCTAGAAAAAAGTCTTATGGTAAAACAGGGCTTTAGAGAAGCCTTGAAAACATCTCCCAACTGTAATAGAGTAGTGTGGCCTCTCTCCCACCACATGCAGCAGATGCATCCTGTTAATGGATTGTAGCTCGGCTCATGAACTGACCCAGGAGGTCACAGAGCTGGCAAGAGGCATGAAGTTGCTCTGTGAAAGAATGAGATCCAAGCCAGTTTACCAGAAAGCACAAAGCAATAGCCGACACCAGAAGCCCTTGCTAAATAAGATTTTGTGGGTATGATTACACCAGGAAAGTCTTTTGGGTAAGAGACCTCATTGCCTCAGGTCTTAAAGCCAGTTCAGTAAGAAAGACTCATTCTGGGATTTGTCCTCCTGATATTAATTTCTTCCAGTATGAAAGGACAGGCCTTCAGCCGTGGGGCAGGGGGCAAACCAGGAAGTTGATGTTGGTACAATAACAACACACATTCGTAAGTGATATATGCTACCTTTATTGTGATTTCAAAGCCTGAGACCTCAAGGCCTTATATTACACCATACTACTTTCCTGACATTAAAAATTGAGCACAGAGTACAATGCACTGGGAACAAAATCAAGTTTGCAGACAAATAACGTTACCAAGGATATAATCCAAGGCATACTCTTTAATTTCCTTGGGCAATACTTCATTTTGGTTACAGCACTGGTACAGTTCTCCTTCCCAGTATAACTTTAAACTACCAGTGTAGTGTAGCTGATTTAACAAAATATGTTGCAGAGCTCAAGTACACATCTTGGAGAATGATGCAGCTTTAGCATTTTCTGTTCTCAGAACCTGCTCCCAAACCTGGATTGTCCTGAGTTGCACCAGTATAGCTGATTGAACTCAAGCACCTCCTCTTTCAAAACTATGTAATGCACATCCACTCATCCCCTAAGTAAAAGTGGTAGAAATTTAAGGCTGCATGTCAGTACAACAAAACAGTAATTTCCTTGCTAATGATTTTCTTTTCTGCTCATCTATTTAGAGATACTGATCCACCAAAACTAATTTATTTAAGGGTCTGGTCCTGACATCAGTAATGTCAGTGAGAAAAGGTCAAATCCTGAATAGTCAAGGCAAAGCGGGGAAAAAACCCCAAAGCCACCACATTTAATGCCTACCAAAACTCTTTAGACGTTGACTTTTTTTTTAAAAAAAAACCTCTCACCTATCTTGCCTACACAGAGACCTAATAATGGTAAAGATGAGCAAAGGAGCTGTCCCTCTGCTAGTCTCTTCCTTCTGCAATTATACAGGTGACTGCCCCTTACAGCAGCAGGAGTTTTGTGAAATGGAGTAGCTGGAAAGACCACACTCTAGCGTCTCTAATTAGTTACGAGCAAAAAGCGAAGGGACCTTCCAACACAAATGCAGCACAGATGCTGCAAACTCATGCTACTACTTAGTCTGGGTCACGATGCCTCCAGCTTTATTCCAAAACTTATGCAAAAACCTGAAACCACTTAAGGACAGAACAATAACATCTAAGTGTATAACAATGAGGTATTTGGAATCCTTGAAGAAAAAGTAATGGGATGCCTTAGTGGCCTAGCAGCAAACAGTCAGAATCTGGGTTTTAGTCCATCTCATCTGGCTTCCTGGATCAACAGAGTCAGGGAGTGGTTAGAAGTATTTTGGGATGATGAGGAAGGAGTCTCATTTTTCTTCTCAGAAGATGGGCTATATATATTTTTTCTTCTTACACTTACTTGTGTTTCTACATGTTTGCTATTCATGTATGATAACAGAACTCTCTACATGGGAAATAAACAAGAAAATATGATCAATCAAGACTAAAGGATAAGATGAGGAAACCTGGTTATGATGCAGTGAAGGTCTACAAGCGAAGACTGTGATTAGCCCTCCAAAACTTGGCTCAGACAGCCTAAGTGTGTGGGTCTGCTTATAGAAACATTAGATTTCAACCACAGTAGCTACTCACTGTCAAGGAGTGACCTAAACCAGTCAAGAAACCCTTAAGCTAAACAGTCTCAGTGCTATAGCTGTCCTGGTCCTTCATAGAGAACTTTGCTGGCACAGCAACTGCCTCAAATAGTGTGGGT